GGCGGTGAGGGAAGGGGCTCCTGCTGCCGGGCTGCTCCAGCGGCTCTGCGGGGTCGCCGGGCCGCGAAGGCCGCTCCTTGTGGGCAAGAGGTGTATCTTTCATCTTCTACCTGCGCCTCGCCCGACTGCCCAGCCCCGGATAAGTCCCTGAGCAGATGGAGAGATCCCTCCGGATGTCTGCTAGGCCGTACCCATGAGCTGAAAATGACCTGTGTTAACTGGCAGGAGCAAACATCAGGGAGAACCATGTAGCTCACAGGGAAAAGTAAGCTCTCGATTCTGACCAGGCTCCTGGGTTTGAAAGAAAAGGTTTGGAAAGAGCTGAAAGTCAGGTGAAGAACTCTGGAATTCACATGAGGAAGAAGCATGAGAAAAGCCTCCTTTTTTTTCACCTAGGTTACCATGCTTCAAAATTCAGCTGAGATGCTGGTGTGAAGTGACTCATGTCTGGCTGTTAAATAGCTTACTGTTAGCTTGCAAAGATTAATATGTAATCTTGACAAAAGAACTCATGCAAGCATGTGGTGCACCAAATCATGGAGAACCTGTGGTGTCCTGTTCTCCCATTTATTTTTGTTCATTGACACCGTGAGTAAATATGATGCATACTCGTCCTGTATTTCAGTTTAAAGTGTCAGATTCATTTATAAGTTCTCCATTCATAACACATGCAACTAATAGCTTCGATTTCAGAATGGGTGATGGGTGAAAGACTAGTTACACATTAGAAAGCATTCTGCTAGAGCAAAAGAAAATGTACCAGGAGGGAGGGGAGATAAAACTTTAATTAACAGTCCTGAAGGAAAAGATACTGTGGTTTCACAGTAGTCTGTATTGCTCCTGTACTAAGAGGTCTTCCGTTGTTTCACATCTGAAAAAATAGCTTTTTTATTTTGGATAAGTGTCCTGATCTTGCTGCCTGGCTGTTGGTGAATGGGGCTGTAGAAAGAAGGATCAGATGAGATGGAGGAGAACGGGGCTGCTGATGGCAGCTGTTCTGGCTTGTGATGGCTGAAAGTGGTTGTGAAAATCCAGCGCGGTGAATTGAAGAGTGAGCCATTGACAAAAACCCTGTTTCTGTAATGTTTTGACTTCTGCAAAGTAGAACATGGCAAAATAGGCAGAACATAAAGGGAAACATTACATTTCAGTGTTCATGAACACAGACTCTCATGTGGTCTGCTGACATAGGCTTTAGACATCAATAAAGGAGCTTTACTAAGCAGACATTTTAAGGACTTTGTGTTGTGTGTACAACAGCACTTCTGAAAAGTCAGCTTTGATACTGTCAGTCAAGTGTACAGTGTCTCATTGAAAAAGAATGTCTATGTTTAAGGGTATATTGGACAAATAACAAAGATATAAAGTTGTGAGTGGAAGCAAACTTGCTTTGCTTTTTGTATTACTACTGTTCATATATATGACCCTTTAATAGCATTTACTTTAAAAGAAGGCAAGAGTGAACAGGTTAGGTTTTAAATCAGGTGGGGCTAGACTCATAAGCAGATACCAAGTTGTATTATAATTGGAGTATAAAACAAAAGAGATGGAAAAAAGCACCATTTTTAAAATTTTTAATAACTGTAATTTAAAATATTTTTTTCCCCAGGAAAGAAACCCCAACTCCTTCCTTGGGGAAAGACACAGCAGATACAGTGATCATTGGAGGTGGTTGTGTTGGTGTGAGTCTAGCCTATCACTTGGCTAAGGCTGGCTTGAAGGATGTTGTTCTGCTGGAAAAATCTGAGCTCACTGCAGGATCTACTTGGCATGCAGTAAGAAATGTTTTGTTATTCTCTCAGATTAACAGCAGTGGTGGTGGAATTTTCATTACCTTTATATTCCCTGGCTCTCCAGATATTAACTATCTGGTTATTTTACAGATGGCACTGAGTTCTTAATAGATTGACTGTATGAGTTTTGAAAAGGTGGTTCATCTATCCACAGTACAGATTCCTCATTTGCAAAAATTGGAACAATGATTCTATGATTCTGTAATTCCGTGATTTGTAGCAGTTAACTGGGTTTAAACTCTAAGGTACTCTAAGGAAAAGAAGTGAAAAGACATACATGCAATAATAGCAGAGTGGGAATACCTCCTATAATAGTTCTAATCACATGAACGAACTGGTATGCAACATAGGTGTATGTAATTCTGTATTTTCTCCATCAATGTCTGGCGCAGGTAGTTTAACAAAATGAAATAAAGCTTGCCACAATAATGGATGCTTTTTCCATTCTTTTCCAGCTGCGCTTAGCTGAAATTGGGACAATGCTATCCCTGCAGGTAGCAATACAGAAAAGTAAAAACCCAAAAGTTTGCTGTCTCTAGAACTGTTCTGTTAATACAACAGAGCACTTATGTAATAATTGTAACTTAGAGCATCTGAGTGCCTTTCAGGAACAAATTATGGAGGATGACTCAGATGGATTATATTTGATTTGTATGGTCACATGTGTCCCAGAGGAGGAAGTTTGAAGTTGGACATACTTCGTCTTAGTGCAGATGTTTTGTGTGTCTGCGGCCTTATGGGACAACAATAGTAAAAACTGAAATTGAATTTAAAAACTGCATGAGATGTAGAAGTAGTTTTCTACTTAATTTTACTTGCTTCAGAGTAAACCAAAAGAAAACACATTGTATTGAGTTAGGAGAGCCAAAAGTCAGCAATTATGACTCTTTTAGATGTAATCATAACACAGCTGGTACAGTTCAGTGAACAGAGCAACACAGTTTATAGTGTCTGACCGGGCATCTTATGCATTCAATACTAAGTATGAAATGCATAAAGAAATACTGTGACTTATGTATATGAGCAAGACACAGGCTGAATTCTATGTACCCAATACATATACAGGACAATACGTGTGTAAAAAAATAATAAAAATTCCCTCTTTGAATAGGAAACCAAATTAATTAAGAGGGTTTTGTTACTAAATGTTCCCTTTGTTCTATTGGTTATACTCACTCTGTCTAGCTTATTTCTCCTAGCTCAGTAAAAGCAACTTCTTCTCCAGCAATTCTGCCCCCACTTCTTAGTCATTGCAGCACTGTAGCACTGAATAGGGATCCCCATTTCAAAGGCAGAGAGGGACCTGGAGTGCAGCAGAGAAAATGCCTGCTCTGGGCTATTGGGAGGGCTGCCTCCTGGCACCTGTTGCAACAGAATTAGATGTGATTAACACAGCAGGTTATAGTTATAGGACAGGTTAAAATGGATAACTGTTAGGTAAACAAAATGGTATACTGTCTCTTGTAACTGAACTGAGCATACTGCTTCTAAAGATGAGAAAGTTAACAGAAAGTCTGTTTCAGTTGATGAGACAGATCAAAACAATGACTGAGTTCTTTTTACGCTGGGTACCATACATTTGCCAGTGTTTTCCTCACAGCAGTACAATACTAGGTACAAATGAAAATTACACATACAGTTATCATTTTTAATGGCATGTAGTATATTGCCTGCAGCACAAATTTTGAAAGTCTAGTTCAGATATTGCTGTACTGTATCTAATATCCATTTTCCTTCTTTCACAATCCAGTAAGTCCTTCCAAAGCTCAGAATCATGTTTCATATAGATCACATTCCCGATAGTGTTGCTGCCAAAACTTTTTTCCACTTCTCATGTTTGAGATCAGTTTGGCTGACTTCCATGTGTGTTATTAAAACAACATAGAAAGTGTGCACATTTTTGTTTTATCAGTGGTAAGAGGATATAAATAAAAGAGCAAGTGCTGCTCATTTTTGTACCTAACTAACCATGACAAAGCAGCAGTTATTATATGTGTGCAAATTAGGATTTAAAGCCTAAGACCTCTTAAAGTTCTATTATTCTGCAGGTCAGATAATTCGCAATTTTACTGAAGCCCTGGGGACTGAACAAGGGATATATAACCCACTCAGCAAGCCGATTTTTTACATTGTTACTTTTAAAAAATGTACTTTCTAAGAAGATGTTTAATGTATCATTCTGTTATGTCATCCTTTTTCTTGCAACATGCAGCTGATTCTGCTGCTGATTGTCAATAAAGCACAGCTCAAGACAAAGAAAAACTTAGTATGACCTGGTCAAATTTGGAAGAAGAGAGAATATGTGATAACAGTTTTTATGCATTTTCCTCCAGAATATTAGTTTAATAACTGGAGTTAGTATTAAATATGAAGCAGATTGGAATAGAACTAAACTGATACATGAACATTTCAACAAATGTCAGCTATTAAAAAACCCTTAAATTCACTATGTCAGTTCTCATAGCGAAGAGGCCATACTTAAAATTATGGCCTCAGGAAACTCAGGAAAACATTGTGAGGCTAGCTGGGCCAGACTCATGACTGAGTTCTGGAGCAAAACCACAGAATACTGAAGGTGGAAACAGGAAAAACTTATGATGGGGTATTGCCTTGGCGTTAGGAAAGCCAAAGCTCGTCTAGAGTTAAGACTCGTGAGGAACATTAAAGGCAAAAATAAGTTTCTGCCTGAACAAGGACTATGGCTGAACAAGGTGGGTAATTTAGTCACAGTGTATGCTGATAAAGTGGAAGTGCTCATGGCCTTCTTTGTCTGAGTTTTCACTGACAAGATTTCTCTGGCCCATGTGGTCTGAGCAGGGTACAAGAAGAGGAGCTACCAGCACTGGATGGGGATCAAGACAGGGATTAATTGGAGAACTTGACTCACAAACGTGCATTTTATCAGTTGGGCTGCATACAAGAATGCTGCTGGTGATGTGGCATTGCTTTGGCTGCAGATGTATTCCCTTTGAAAGACTGGACATGAGGGGAGATGCTCAGCATTTGGAGAAGGGCATATATATGCATCTTTTATAAAACCCAAATGGACAAGCAAGGAGGCTGAAGGCCAGCTAGCCATACTTTGGGAAAATCAGGAAAATCATGGAGCAAGTATCAGATCCTATTTCTGGGCCTGTGATTTGCAACACTCAGAATATATTTCCCAAGTGTAAATCACATCTCACCAAACCTAATTATCTTCTATGATAAAATAACTGAATCTGTAGGCAAGAGAAGAGCAGCTGATGTCACTTATCTGGATTGTAGAAAGATTTGAGACACTCTCCCATAATACTCATATATCCAGCTGAAGATATTACATTTTGCATGGCTGGACAGCTACATAGTTAAAAGAATGGATGGTTGAGCTCAGAGGGTAGTGGTTAATGGATCATACTCTACTCAAAGCCTGGAAGTAAGTTGAGTGTTGCGGATGTCTGTCCTGGGACCCATCCTGTTTAACTTCTTTATCAATGATCTGGACTAGGTAATGAAGTACATACTTGTCAAATTTTAACATCAAACCAGGAGGACCAGTCAGTGCCCTCAAGGACAAGACTGCCATGCTGAGGGACCTAGACAGGCTGGAGGGTTGGAAGGACAGGAACTTCATGAAATTTAACATGGACAAATGCAAAGTCCTGTACTTTGCCAGAGAAACAGTGCAGTCTCTGTCCTTGGGCAATTTCAGGACCAGCTTGAAAAAATGTTATGCAACTTGGGCTGGTCTCGTAGCTGATCCTGCTTTGATTGTGAGGTTGGATAGAGACCTCCTTAGGTCTCACTTAGTCTGTTTATTTTATTGTAATTGTTTAATTGTTTTATTATCTTAATTTCTATATATAAGTCCAGTCAGGTTATAATTGTTTCCTGAGATCAGAAACCAAAAGACATAAAAATGTGTTTAAAATTCTTCTTTTCTCTTGAAAATGTCAGAGAGACAAGTTTTGATTTAATTCCTGCAATTAAATGGACTTGAATGTATATGGGTTTATAGCTAACGCATTAGTGATTTGGTTCAAAATGATGTTAGTAACAGTGACCACTAAGGTGGAATTTCCTTACATCTGTAATATGTTACTATATTTAGAAAAATAACAGAAGACCAGGAAGTGTTTACAAAAATAAGACAGTAAAAAGAATATGAGATGACATAATTTGCAGGTACAAGTAAATTAGTTACTCACAGGCTATTGTAAATGGCTAAACAATGTAAACATTTCAGTGCCTAATGTATTTCTTTATTCAATATACACATATAAAAGGCCCTTAGGACTTATTTGTTTTAAGAAAGAAGCCAGTTTTAGTTACAAATTCTGAAGTGTGATCACTTTTATAATTCAGACTGTTGAGGTAATGAACAATACCAAACATACTTAGGGAACTACCCCCCAAATTGTGTATTAAGTAAATGTACAACTGAAAAATCTAACACTAATGTATTATTTATTTTGCACATTTTTTCAATTGCGTATTTTGACTTATGCAATGCAATGATAGCATAGGCTTCAAGTTAACAAATAGATAAAATCCTCACCAAAACATTACGAGAACCTTTTAGCGCGCTGACTAGCATGAAGACATATATTCAGTAGGGTCAGGAACTTGTCAATATGCCACCTGTCATACTCTTGCTCTGAAGATGCTGAGTACCTGTTATCTCAGGCAATGAGAATAATTTCTGGTTTTTGAGGAGCATGGTATGCA